GTTCGTTTGCACACTTTCCCATCCACACAACAATTATAGGGATCTCGTTTCGCGTTGTAAAGTATATGCGTGGACACAGTGGGTTCCGCCCCTCCCCCTACGGGGGGGCTCCACTTCCGGAAGATGTAACCTAATCCAAACCTATTTCTGATTTAAAACTAAAATTTATGTGCGCAAAAGAAATGTGCGCAAAAGAAATGTACGCAAAAGAAATGTGCGCAAAAGAACTGTGCGCAAAAGAACTGTGTGCAAACGAACTGTGTGTAAACAAACTGTAACAAACGTTTATTTATCAAATAAAGTTAATAATAAATGTCACAAAATTTCAAAATTATACATGCATACATGTGTATGTATTCCAAATTATACAAAAATATGTGTTGTGTCCAAAAATAACGTGTCCAATTGAACGGTGCGCAAATGAAATGTGTCCAAACAAATTGTGCGCAATTGAAATGTGTCCAATGGAACGGTGCGCAACTTTATGTGTCTAATATCACAGTGTGCAATTGCAACGTGTCCAATTGTACTGTGCGCAAGTGAAGGCTTCTCTCGACACACGGCGTTCGAGTAGCGGCTACGTGGCTGTGTTTGCTGGTGGTGCCATTTCCTGGTGTTCAAAGCGTCAGAGTATGACCGCGCTTTCAACATGCGAAGCTGAGCTGACGGCTGCAACCGAGGGCGCCAAGGAGGCTATCTGGCTGACTCGACTCTTTGAGTCGGTGGGTGTTGATAACATCAAACGAATAAAAATTAAAATGCTCTGAAACTCGTCAAGAATCCGAGGCACACAAGCGGACAAAACACATCGACGTGAAATTCAATTTTGTTCGAGAAGTGTACGAGAATGGACAGGTCATAGTAGATTATGTTCCGACATCACAGCAGCTGGCTGATTTTTTAACTAAGAGCCTCGCGAAGATCAACTTCGAACGAAACCGCGATGGCCTACAAATCTGTTTGATCAGCACCGAGTTCGCAACCGGTGGGTGTGTTGGATTTTGGGGTTACGAACTCGGCACCGACAAACTTGACAACATGACATATGTCATTAATGAAAGTAGACGCAAGCGTTCGTCGCATAGCAACGTCAATAAGCGAACGTGTGTTCCTCTTTAGTGCGTTTTTCTTTGTCACTCGCGAATTTTATTGCATAAGAATAACATGTTTTCTCTGTTCTCTCATTAAAATAATACCGTTAAACCGTTGTATCTAATAATCTAGTAATAAATGAATGAAAAAAACAATGTATATAAAGTCCTCATTATGGATTACTTACATTACGTCGCTACTCATCCGTATTCTTGATGAGCCCGCTCTATTTTGCTTGCATTCCGAGCCATTCATATCCGCATCTTGTCGGGATATGAATCATCCCGTTATCGAGGAAGTTCTCATTGCAGCTGCGATCCTTGAGAAATTCGTAAAGCGGTGATGATCGCATGTATATGATGTAAGGAGATGATATAATTACTCATTGTTACTTAAAACACCATTTTCAATATTGATTCATCGCAGCAGTATATATGACAGAACTTGGGCTAAAAATAAACTATACTTACAAAGCTGCATTAAGTATAATTATGCCAGAGATAAAAGATGATTAAATATTACAAATGATTTTACGAATTTTTTTCTCTCTTGTCAATCATCATTCGCACAATTAAAATGTACAATTCGAGATATACAAAAGGAAATATTTCAATATATTATAATGCTGTAACTGCGTGATTTCTCCATAAGTAGTCGATAAAGTGACTGTGACCGTGTTAAGAATGAGAAACTAAAAAATGGCAATCAGCCGCGCAAGTCTCATCAGTGCATTAGTGACCGTTAGTATCAACAATGGTTAGCGGAATATTGGATTTATTTTGATAAGATTGACCGCATCTTTTTTAAATGACAAACGACACTTCTGTACTTGTAAGAGTTATGTGACCCAATTACCCGATTATGACAAACCAAGTATTAGCAATTAATATGTAATCAAATAAATCACAGGACAGATCAAGCAACGCGGTAGCGTCTAAGTATATATAAATATTTGTTCCAGCTTGTCAACGGTTTGCCTATGTACAGGGGCTGCAACGCTACCAAGTAGCTTATCCGGAGTTTTACGTCTAATAAACTTTCGATTAAAATTCCTCAGGAACCAAGCCGTTAATCAAAAATCTAACGGCACTTTTCTTATACAATGTGGATGCAAGCTTTCAATTTCGACCAGTTTGAATAAGATTGGTGCAGTCAATCCTGAGGAATGATAATCGTATACCAGAAATGTGACATTTTTCGTTTTCCATCATTATCATAAAAATCATAAGTTTCAGACTCTCACGTACGTATGCTTGCACGCACACACGCAAAGCGAGTTTGTCCCTCAAGGCGCGTTTGCAGCGCTCATGTACGATTATTCGCTTGAGTGTGCAAATACGCCTTGAGAGACAATGCGTATGTGCGTGCATGCGTATATGAGACGTATTAAGCAGTGATGCCAGAATGCCCACGCCAGCAACACGCTACCGTAGTGGAGGGGATACGCACACAAGCGAAAACCGTGTATATGTAATGCGCAGAACGCTCTGCGCATTACATATACACGGTTTTCGCTTGTGTGCGTATCCCCTCCACTACGGTTGCGTGTTGCTAGCGTGGGCATTCTGGCATCACTGCGCTTGATACGTATCATATACGTATGCACGCACATACATACACATTGTCTCAAGGCGTATTTGCACACTCAAGCGAATAATCGTACATGAGCGCTGCAAACGCGCCTTGAGGGACAAACTCGCTTTGCGTGTGTGCGTGCGAGCATACGTACGTCTGAAACTTATGATTATTATGATAATGATGAAGAACGAAAAATGTCACAATTCTGATATACGATCATCATTTCTCGGGATTGACTGCACCAATCTTATTTGAACCGGTCGCAATCGAAAGCTTATATTCACATTATATAATAAAAGTGCCGTTAGATTTTTTATTACGGCTTTAGTTATTAAAATATCTTAATGGAAAGTTTACTAGACCTAAAATTCCGGATAAGCTACTTGGTAGCGTCGCGGCCCCTGTACATAGGCAAACCGTTGACAAGCTGGAACGAATTTTTATATATACTTGGCGTCGTGACGCTACCGCGTCGCTTGATAAAAATATTCTAACAGTGCTTTTTTCTATGACTGCGGTCGATAAGAGATTAGTCGATATAGATGCTGCATAATATTTTGGTGGTTGGTCAATGAGGTTAAAAAATTATAAAGTTTCCTTATCATAATTGGTTAATGCAGTGTTTCAGAACATCTGTAGTTTTTTTCCAACCGTAGCATAGTCTATATTACCTACTGCATAAATGACAGTTTTCTTTAACCTCGCGTGTTTCTCTCTATATTTATATTTAGTGTGATTGCATTTATAGTTTCAAAATATATATTTGTTTTTAGATTTTCTGATCTTATTGAAGTATCATTGAATAAGCATTTTTTGCATGAAAGTGTTTGCGTGCCATAAGAATGTACAACAAATTATCAAGCGACGCGGTAGCGTCGCGACGCCAAGTATATAAAAAAAACGTTTCGGCTTATCAACGGTTTGCCTATGTTGCCTATGTACAGGGGCCGCGACGCTCCAAGTAGCTTATCCGGAGTTTTACGTTTAATAAACTTTCGATTAAAATTCCTCAGGAACCAAGCCGTTAATCAAAACACTTTTCTGACTTTTCTGATACAATGTGGATGCAAGCTTTCGATTGCGACCAGTTTGAATAAGATTGGTGCAGTCAATCCTGAGGAATGAGTATACCAGACGACCTGATGTAAGAGGCCGATCAGAAAACTGTAATTATTTAACTTTTTGGGGTTTTTTACATTAAATTATAGCGTCCGCACATCGTTATTATGAGTACTTTAATTCTAGAAAAGGATTTTTCATTCTGTATAGCCAATAAAAAGATTAGTACTTGAACTCATTCTTCGCGTTTTGTCGGTAATTTTGGATCCCCTTAAGGTTATATATTAAGGTTATATAGCAAGAAATCGCGACGTCAAGATATAATAAGGTTAAGGTTATATAGCAAGAAAATATATTTGGTTCTATCGAGTAAGTAGATTGAAATTTTGTATATATATCTGGTTACACATGTTTATTTATTGTTTTATAAGTATATTTCTTGATCATATCTGAATATTATCTAAATTATAGCGCTTATTTGCAGGATAAAGCGAAATCAATCTTTTCGAGAAGACCGGTATACTTTTATAGCTGGGATTTCTTCAGCTCAAATTGCATACGGTCTTATACCGTAGCAATCCTAGCTGAAGAGCTTTGCTAAACAGTGTAACATATTGGATTATAGAGATTTGGGAGTAACAGACAGTAAGTACAATTAATTAGCACATATGAAAAACATTGAGTAGCACATATGAAACCAGATATGTAAACTAAATTAAATATTATAATTCTGTTCTTTTCCTCACATTCAGATAGAGGGAAGTGACCATCCAGCGCTTATAATCGAACATAATGACTTGGGTTCTCAAAGGTTTTACAATGCACGGAGTAAGCAAAGTTTCAAATATGATCACTTGAGGAAGGAGGTGCAAGATTATGAACCTTATGAACCAGATCCTATAGCGGAGCCTTGGAGGTCAGCTTTTCAAGACGAGATAACGAATTATACTCAAAGTCATTATAGACACGGCGCCTGCTCAGTTTTTGGAATAAGAATATTAAAAGAAATAATTTAAAAAAAGAGAAGAAAAG